CACTTTTTTTTTGGTTTTTTGAGACAGGGTGTCACTACATAGTTGAGACTGACCTAGAACTCACTATGTAGCCCAGGCTGGTCTCAAATTCACAGCGACCCTCCTGCCTCAGCCTCCCAAGTGCTGGGATTTCAGGCATGCACCACCAGGCCCAGCCCTCCAATAAATTTTAAGTAGGGATGGTATCAATGAGGGTCCCTGCCTGGTTCTTTGCCTTTCCATTAATGTCTCTAGTATCCTCCACAGAGTAACATACCAGCTTCAAGACCGTAGTGTGCGTGTGCATGTGTGTGTGTGTGTGTGTGTGCATGCACACATATGTTTCTTTCTTAGTGTGAATCTATGTATTTATACATTTATATATAATATATATATTCACACTAAGAAAGAAACAAATTAGTTCTTACTTTATCACTTTTAGTTAGGAATGGTTGTCTATTTTAGTTTAATACCATTTTAGCAGATATGAAGATGACTACAAAATTTTCTAAGTTTATGAACATAATAAATTGTGTCAGTAGATAACAACATTGAAACATCCTCATATTTTGGCAATAAATATGCTTTGCCCATGGTGTTTTACTTTTATGATAAACTGTTGGATTCTGTTTACTAATATGTTATGTGTATTTTTATGTTTATGTTCACAAGTGAGCTCGATCTTTATTTTTGTGCTATCTTTTTTGTTTCATAAAAATAGTTTTTTTTTCTTTTTCTTTACTCAGAAACAAAATTTTCAATTGCTTAATAAAATACTTTTAAAAACTATACCCAAGAGAACTGAAAGAATCATATCACAGAGAAGTATGTGCACCCATGTTTATAGCGGCACAGTTTGTAATAGCTAAATCTTGGAAACAACCTATTTGCCCATCCGTTGGAAACTGGATAAAGAAGTTGTGGTTTTTCTATAAAATGGAATATTACTCAGCCATAAAGAGCGAGAGAATAGATTCATTCATAGGAAAATGGATACATATTGAAGATATACTCCTAAGTGAAATAAATAAGTCCCACATGTGTAAATACCGAATAGTTTCCCTGGTGTGAATATTCTGCAACAATGCATAAGATTCTAATAAGATTACTGACATTTAGAAATGGGAGGAAAGGAGCTAAAGGTGTAGGGAAGGTGTGATACGTAGGGGAAGAACAAAAAGGGAAAAGAAAAAAATGTGAGAGAATGAAAAGATGAAAATAAAGTGTTTGTAGATGGGGAGGGGAGGAGGGGGTGAAGGGAGGGCAGAGGTAAGGGGAAAAAAATGAGAATCAAGACTTGCCATGTAAAGGTACATGATCCCAACAATGAATGTAACTGTACTGTATCCCTAAATGTACCAATAAACTCAATAAAAAAAAAAAACTATACCCACAGATCCTTTATCAGTCTCAGTTTCTACATTGCACACAAAAATGCTAGAAAATAATTTTTTTAAAAAGAAACAATTTAAGTACCATTGGCAGAATATGATCTTTGAAGGTTGAGGATACTCCCCTGTGAAGCCTGAGCCTTTTATAAGATCCTTCACTCTGTGAAAACTGGAAGCCCTTACGTACATTACAAAGTAGAATTTTCCTGTTGCCAATAACAGCTCTACTCTTTTCAAACAAGCCTCTGTGGGCCGGGGATGTGGCACAGTGGTGACGCTGCCTGGCTTGTAACTCAGTGCCAAGGTTCCAGGTTCAATCGCCAGAAACAGAGCCCCGGCCGAGCTTCATCACGACTGGCAGCCTCATCCCTCGGGGACAAGTTCAAGACCTCCTGACTGAGTTCCCATGTTTCAAGTTCAATGGGGAAGGGAGCAGTTGCTCCTGCCCCCAGGGAGAATTTCACACCCTTGCCTATTTGCAGCACTGCTTGAAAACAATCGACTCATCTTTCAAGTCGGACCAAACTCCGAAGGGAAGGAGCGCTCAGCCACCTCCTGCGCAGCCACCTCCTGCGGTTGTGCGCGTTGGCGCTCAGCAGCTTCGCACTGCTCACAGATGGCTTCTGTTGCGTTCTGTGTCATCCAGTCATCCCGCACTACTTCCTCTCACACTTTGACGGCAGGAGTAATTGAAGAGCTCACCGTGACGGGCGTCTCTTCTTCCAGATGCCCTGGATAGGAGGACTGTGGCTTTCGTCACCTCCTCGATGTGGGATGTGTGCATGGCCTTCCGCCTCAGAGTGGCTCCACGCAAGGTAAAGAGAAACTATTTCTTGGCGTTGCCTTTTACTGCGGCCGAGCATTGGAGTAAATGAACATGGCCCATCAATGGCCTCTCTGTCAGTGGGCAACTTGTCTTGCTGTGGCTGAGGACGACCCAGGAAACATTCGGTGGCGATGCTTGCGTGTGATGGTGGGGATAGAGGTGGCGGTGCTCACCAGAGGAGTCTGAAACACGGAAACAGTGGCTGTTCAGGAATCACGGTAGTGTTAGCGCCGCACTTCTGCTCTCCTTGTCTCCGATCTTGACAGTTTGTCCTCCATCTTTCTTCTTCGGCAAGGGGTGGCTTTTATTTTTTGTAACTTGTGAAGGATGTGCAAATATTTTAAAAGCAAAACATTGAAGTGTTTTACGCTGTAGGGTTGTTAGTTTCTTCCCCCCCCCCGGAGGCTGGTGTTAATAGTTGTGTTTTATTTCCGTGTAAAAATACCCCTTTAAAAAAATCAAAGGATCCAAAACAAGGAAATATGCAAAGCCTCAGAGCAGCTGTGTAAATTTACAAACTTTGGGCCTTTAAAGAGCTAGGCTTAAGGGAATGACACTCTGGAAAATTGGATTTTTACTTAAAAATTAAACTATTACTACCAGCTAGTGCCACATTTGTTTTGGTAGAATATCAACACTGTGTGCGTTTCCTCAAGCTTCTTCTGCCCACAGCAATCATTCCCATACACATCATCAGTACGAAAGGTTGAGGACCGCAACAGCTAAGAAAAATTTTTTAGGTCAGTAGAAACATTATTTAGGGAAAAACATTTTTAAAGAGGATTTTGAAACTGTTCATAATTTATACATAGCTTTGGGAGGGAATGAGCAATAACAACTTTTGCTGGGGAGATAAAAATTACAAGATATTATATCCTTTCTCTTAAGTAGCTTACACAAAGAACTAGGACTCTCTATTTAGTCTGGGCTTACACACACACACACACACACACACACACACACACTGTCCTGCAGCAGAGATATACAAATAGCTTCTACAGTTGTTTCACTATTTTAGAATCCTAGAGCTTTACATGTACAATCACAGACTGAGAACATCAAGCCTGTAGTGAATATGATCAAAGTAGGTGGGTTGCTGACACACGTGAATTCGTATGACACACCCTGCATGTTGTGAATTAATTTTTCTTACATCTTCACTCATTGTCAATATTGTCAGCATGAGTATTACTGATGTGACTTTAAGTTAATACAAAATTTGACCTTCATCGAAGATAACTCTAAGACTCAACAAACTTTTACTGGATGTATGCCAAGCGCCAGGCTTTGGGGCAAACGAGAGGAAAGCTGACTCAAGGAAAGAATCATGGCCAAAGGCCATTTAATTAATTTGTTGTCTGGCAAAACAGCATGAGAACTGGGAAGAAAGCCCAGGTAGGTGGACTTGCTAAGTCGTTATTCAGAATACGATACTTTGTTGTGCAGGATATGATGTACAGTGGACCCTTGACTTACAAACTCAATCAGTTCCTGAGGGCTGGTTGTAACTAAGTCAATACAGCTGACATCTGGATGTTTACCTGGGTACAAGCTATAGATAACAAGAGGCGGAGGAATCTTCCATTAACCTAATTAACCCCGACTGTTCGAATGTCCGGTGGGTTGTAACTTGAGGGTCCATTTGTGCACTTCTCCTACCTGCATTAAATTAATGGAAACTTTCCCCTGAAAAACGACTGTTGTGTGTAAAGTTCTCAGAGGCACCACGTGGCACTGTGTTTCCTTGGAGTTGTTCACCTGCACTGCAGAGTTTTGTCCACACAGGTTGGACTCTGTGCCTTGATGCCACAGGTGAGAGCCTCACCTCATGGTCTCTCTCAGAATTGTCATCATCCCAGAACTGGCTTTCCTGTGGGGAAAAGCAGAGGGGGGCGGGATCATCTGATGAGCATTCAGCCCTTGATGCTAGGAGTTTTATACTTTTTTTGCGGGGTGGTACTGGTGATTGAACCTGGAACTTTGGCACTGAGTTACTTCCCTGGATCCTTTGTGAATCTGTAAACTAGGTCTTCAAGTCATTCAAGCTGGGCTCACACTTGCCATCCCCACGAATCCAAAACCCCAGTGGGACTGCACCAGAGTTTGCCAGGCGAATAGAACAAAACCGTCCAATGTCACACTGTCGCGAGGGAGAAAGTGGGTGAAAGTCCCCGGGCGTCCGTCGTATCTCCGTGTCCACACTGTTCACCGGTGGCCCATGGCGTCCACTGTCCGGGGCTCCCGTCCCTTTCTCCGCCTTCCCTCGTTATCATGCAGGATGTGTGACTGAGTGTACAGCATGGGCAGGTGGTGTTTGGGAGGCTGGACAATGAAGCGTGGTTAGATTATGACGGAGCAGGTGGAGGGAGGAGCGCTTCCGAAGGAAGGGCGCCGCGACCCGGATGTGGTCAGGTTTGTAGGACGCGTGCAGAGAGCTGGGGCGGGAATTGATTCCATCCTGGATTGGGGCGGTGGGGGGAGAAGCCCGAAGAACGTGCAGAGATTTGCTTGTTTCCCACTTTGCTATTACATTGATGAAATACATACATGTGTACATTGTATAGGTACATGTGAGCATGTATGTACATATATATGGTTTTTTATTCAGAGTATACAGTAGTTAAGAATAAAATATAGAAAATTCTTCACATTGTTAAATTCTAAATTGTACCTCCTGTCATTTCACCATATTTTAAAGTATTTTCAGTCCCTTTGTATAATTTGTATCCAGAGTGGTTCTTTGTTATAATCTAATTTAGCTGTTTCCTTTATAATACAGACATTCACAGACTATTAAGTATCAAAGAAATACTTTCAAGACAGTAGTACATAATTTGGAACTTCTTCCTGATAAAAACCAGAGAGGGAAATGAGTTCAGATTCATAATTATGGCTATTAAATCATTAGAGTCAGATATGACTTTAATTTCAGAAAAATTTGCATTTCATATAGATAAAAGGGTACACACAATATATTATGTCACATGCTCAAGTGGTCTGCAACTTTGCTCTTACTCAAAAAAAAAAATTGTGTGACCAGCAAACTCTACAAATATTCACAAGCAGGATCAATAAAAACTGCAGATAATTTCATGTCCGTTTTGATTGGCTACCAAATTCATTTAGATTGGTTAGCATTCTGCCACTAAAGGCTGTAAAAATAGTTTTCATAGACTTTTAGATTTTGAATTCATAGATAAGGAATTATGGGCAAGTAAGACATCTCATCATCAGAATCTGCAGACTGTTGCTGGTGATAGAACTCCTGGAAAATTAAATTAAATTTGGTCTGATGCTGCTTCTGTACCAGCAAACTGCAATCTAGCTTAGTAGGTAACCAAACTCCAACCTAACAAAGCATATTCTTGTAACAAGCTGCTGAGTCTCAGCCAATCACAGCAACTGAGCTTTAACCAATCACAGGTTGCCCAAGTATCAGGCCATGTCCATATAAGGCAAATGCCTCATCACACCATGCCCAAATAAGGCAAATGCAGCCAATCCAGCTGTTTCTGCACTTGATTTCCTTTTTCTAACCATAAATACTTCCTGCTCACATTGCTAGGTGGAGCTAACTGAGCCTCTCCTGGTTTTGAGAGCTGCCCTATTCATAAATCTTTCTTTGCCCAAATAAATTCTGCTAAATTTAATTTGTCTAAACTTTTTCTTCATACATTCCAAGTATAATTTAAAATGATATGGTAAAGATCATAATGCTGCTCTAACAAAGCCAAACTTGCCGTAAGAAATAAAAAAGTGAAAATCCTTTTGTCCCTGGTGCCAGCCTAAAACAGATTCCCATTCATGCTTTCTGTTCATGCTATTGTAGCTGGCTTTGCTTTGGAAGTCCAGCATTGTATTTTTATTTTTACTGATGCTTTCTAACCCATTTTTCTTTTCCAGAGCCTTCTACCACATCTGTTGTTCACTGCCTTTTTAAAATTAAAATACTCTACAGGATATCACTAAATCATAAAAATATTAAGAACCAGCAGAATCTATGTTATTCCAGTGGGCCATAGAAATAACAACCGAAGTTAAGAGTAACTTGGGTTTATAGTTTTAAGGGATTAGTGTTAGATTTAGGTCTGTGTTAAAGCGAAATACGTATATACACAGAAACATGTGCTGGTTTCACTGTTTCGTGTTTCTCAAGCAGCAAATTGTGTCCTGAAAGACAAAATTGTGGCAAGGGACTGTGCCCTAGATGCTCATTGCACAGCCTCAGAAGACAGGTGGCATGGATGCCTGGTTATAAATATCCACATCATATCAGACAGCAGTTTTAATGCCCCTCCCAGACTTCTCAACCAAGGCTACTAGCAAGTAGATTTGCACGGCTGAGTTTCAATATCTCACCTAATGTACTTTGAAGTCAGTGGCGACACTCTGGGTCCTCACCTAGGTATTACAGACTGTGAGGACGTGGAAAGGATGAGGGAAGACCTGACAAGTGAACACACTGCATCCACTCAAAAGCGTGGGGAAAGAAAAGGTAACTTAGAGGGAACGGAATCCAGTGATCACAGAGCTAAACTAAACATGGAATGATCCACTTAAAGCCCGGGTTTAATTAAGATGGATGGGGTTTTCAGTCAGAAGCGACTATAGAGTGATGTGAAGGCGGGAGAGCTACCCAGAGGAGAGCAGCAGAAGGAGCAAAGAAAACAAGAGGCAGCCGTGAGATGTGTTCGCGGAGGATGAGGCCTGAAGCTCACGCAGTGAGACCATGACTGGTGGAGACCACGAAGATCAAGCAGGTGCACTGTATTTGGAGTCAAAGTAAAATAGCACTCAAAGTCTTTGTAAATAGGGAAGGATGAAAGGGGTGAAGGGGTGAAGGGAGGGCAGGGGAATGGGGAAAAAATAAGAACTAAGGTCTGTCGTGTAAAGGTACAAGATCCCAATGATAAATGTAACTGCATTGTTTGCTTTCAATGTACCAATAAATGTAATGGGGAAAAAATAAATCAGTAACATCTCCCATTCATTAGAAAAAAAAGTACAATAGCACTGTTCCTGGGCAGCTTTGTGAAAGATGAAATCAGCACATGAGGAGAATGATTTCAACATCAATTAAGCATAGAAGGTTTTCAGAGAGGGTATCTACCAGGTTACTGGACAAAATCTGGGATTTGGTTTTGCGTCTGAGAATAAGGAGGATTAGAGTTGTAGGAATATTTCTATTATAAAACAGGATGCATTCATTCTGAGAGACTGAAAAAGAAGGAAAAGTAAAAGAAGAGTGAAAGTGACATGGCATTCAAGATTCTTGATGTCCGTAAGCTGAGGTGATGATAATGTTACTGATGAGAATGCCAAGGTTATAAACATAGAAATGGTGGATTCACACATAAAGTTTTAGCACTGAGTCCTACTTCAGCAGGGATCAGGGTCAAAGGGCTTGTAAACAGATCAAAGGCCCTCACCCTAGGTTGTGATTAAATAAATCTGGGTTGGACACAGTGTTTGCATTTCTGGGTGTGCATTTTGAGAACCACCGATTTAAGTCACTTAAGACAACTCAGGATGGTGGAGGTGGGAATGGAAGGTTATGGCCAATGACTTAAGGGTGGGAATTCTCTGTACACAGGTAGCTGCGAAAGCTTGGGGGATTTCTCATCTGTAGCACTTTTCATGCGTTCTATCATGTTTCCTTATTTACTCTACTGGCATTAAAGTGAAATAAATCTTCGGTTTCTGGCAGTTGGAATAAAAGGAACTGAAAATTTAAGAAATAAAAACATATTCAGCAAACAGAAAGTGAGTGTTCCGGGGCTGATCGGAGCATGACTTTTGAAGGAGGTGAGGGAAAGGCTCAGGAGGGCATCGCAATCAGGCGCTGTGGGAGGAGGAAGACCAGGTGATCCAGGTACTTGACAATCTATTCTAGAAAATTCCCCCTCACTCTCTGTGAAGAAGCAAAAAGGTGGAAAGTTAAAAAGAAAAAGATAATAAGTCTACTTTGTATTTTAATTATTGTCAAGTACCCAGGTGCTTCAATGAAGGGTTTCATGTACATATAAATTATTTCTGTGCCCTCGCACACTTGTAGAAGTCTAAATGAGATGTTGTTCCATTTAAGATTTAAATAATTCCCTTGAGAAAATGCCAACCAGATTACTTCAACTAGAAGCCAATGCATAAAGATGTACTTGTTATTTACATGTTAACATGTTCAGCAGTCTGACAAATTTTCTTTTGCTTGAAAGTCCTTTGTCATGAGACCTGATGCTCCCCAAACACCGTTGACAAAGGGAAATAAACCACCCCGAGGTGGCTGCTGAGCACCCACTCTTTCTAGAATGCCTTTCCCACCTTCAGACGGGGTGATCACAAAACGCGATGCTCCACTGTTCCAAGCGTGGGACCTCAGAGGCTCCTCAGCTCCCACTTTCTACACAAGTGCAGATTCAGAGCCAAGGGGACAACTTTTTCTTTTTTAACAGTGACTCAGCGGAGGGACGTTCCCCTGAGACTGCGAGGCTCTGAGGATGAAGGGGAAGGGTTGGCTTTGTGTGTGGTGGCTTAGTGAGTCAGCCAGCTGGTGGCAGAAATGTGCAGATTTCGCAGTCTCCTATTCTGAGGGAATTTACCCTCACGAGCCTAATTTGCCACTCAAGGAGGAACGGGGGAAGTTCAAGTAATCTTTAATACCTGAAGATATACAGCTTCACTTCTCCAACTCAGGAAAACATTGACTGAAACAGATCATGTATTTTTTAAATGTCCCTACAGTTTCTTGGATGTAGACTGTCTGCAGAAGGATCACTGTGAGTTCGAGACCAGCCTGGGCTACATAGTGAGTTCCAGGTCAGTCTTAACTACGTAGTGAGACCCTGTCTCAAAAAGCAAAAAACAAAAAACAAACAAAAAGAAGAAGAAGCAGAAGAAGAAGAAGAAGAAGAAGAAGAAGAAGAAGAAGAAGAAGAAGAAGAAGAAGAAGAAGAAGAAGAAGAAGAAGAAGAAGAAGAAGAAGCAGTATGATGAGTTAAGAGTGAATGAATCAGAAACATACGGATTAAATTTTCCCTGAAATTTGCATGGATTTGGAAGTCATGCAGAAAAGGGCCTTTGGCAAGATGCACTTGGGATTTTACTGAACTGAAAACATTCGAGAAATAATGAGTTGCTTTGGTACACACAAAACGGTATGAAATTCTTCTATTTTTATAAACTACACAACAGTTTTTAAAAGAGTGAGATTAAAGATCACCTAGTTGAAATTTAAACTCCCTTAGCTCAGTTTCTCAAAAAACATGCTTACCTATGAAGTTTGCTAGCTGCTATACAAGCAGAATTCCATGTCTTCGCTAGAGGAAATAAAAATCAGAGGCAGCCTGACAGACTGAAAAGTCTCCCTGTTTGTTCACAGATCCTGCGGTATTACAGTTGGGTGCCGTCAAGAGGATGTTTTATTTCAGGGCCATCTTTCACCCTCAACCTAATGAAATTAAGAGAAACAACAACTACAACTAGAACATGTTTTAAGAGAAACATGTAGGATGCTCATCTGCATGCGTTATTAGATTGTGTTTGGTTCCGGTTCAGCACACAGCGTGTCTCTAAGATGATACCCTAGGGGTAAAACTACTACAGGGCTTCTGGTACTCTAAGAAGGAACTAAGAGCCAGAATTATATTAACTTCGGTTCTTTTAAAGGTCAAAATAAGGTTCAAGTTGCTTTATAAACATATCTGAGGTCATTAACAAAATGATAAATGAGGAAAACACATACATTTTGTAAAAACCTCTATTCTGTTGTTTTTGTGCTATGTTTTAGCCTTAGGAAAGATAGTGGTGAAACATTTTCTCTCATTCATTATTTGGTGGATCAAAAACTAGCCTTGGGATCTTATTCAAAATAACTACATTGGTGTAGTAGCTTAGAAAGTAGCAAAAGATGTTTCCCAAACAGTTACTGTTTTGTGTTTAGTTGAGAGATGAAGAAGAGAAACAGAGTGAGAACTTTTACAGGGGTGGAGATGGAAAGTATGATAATCTTTGTAGTGTTCAATTCATACATCTAAAATTTAAATTTGTACCACAGGCACAAACAAAAATATCAGAAAGCTCAATTTACCCTACATTTGCTCTTGACCCTGGTTCAATGAATTCACTTCTTTTTACTTGGCAGACGGGCACTAGATCTTCAAAAGAAAGATTCATGTGAATCTGCCATAAACACTGCACTTTCCGGCTAATGAGCTAATGGTAAAGGCAGTTTCTAAATGAGTCCAAGATGAACAGGGCACCATTTATAAAGCAGATCCCGCCAGGTGTGTACATTATTACTTGGGCAAACTAAATTAGCTGTATAAATAACATTTTAAATATTTGAAAGCCATTCCCTCTGACTCCTTTAAACTAGCAAGATCACATTGCATGCATGCAGAAAAAAGGAACTTGAGAAGAGCAAATAGCCATGCAACTGAGCATGCATTTACTCAGAAGGTGGTAAAAGAGACCCAAGACACAAATGCTGAATTTCTTTAGAGAGAATACAGCATCCGTCCAATTGGGGTAGGCTTTTGTGTTTCCAGAGCAGAAGCCCTGAGACCTTTGGGAGTGCCCATACTTGTGAATCCCACCACAATAGGTTATTTTCTTACAAAGCAAAGTCAAAAGCTCAAGTAATCATCTAGGTATCTCCTGGACACATAATGTTTCATCTGTTGTATAGTAAGTACATGTTACCAGCTCTGGTCCTTGCTGAATTAGGTTGACAGTCTGTTTTTCTTATTTCCGTATATTGCAGTTGAGCTGCCTCATAGAGTAGAGTCATTGTACAGCATCATGTACCTGTTTTCAGTGTATCAGAGATGTCTATTTTTCTGGTGAGAAGACTCAATTTCATACACCAGTTCACGTCCTCTTTGTTTCCATCTTCCACCTTAACAAATGTCTTCTTTCTAAAGCCTGTTTTTAAAAACTCAACACACTTTTCACCTCTTTGGAGCACTTCCCAACATGCAGTGCCATGTTGGAGAGAAAACAGAATGCTGCATGGACCAGTGGCCAGCAAATGGGTGAATGTGTTGGCTTGCACCTAAACCAGGTGAGCCATTCTTACAGATGAGGGCATCAGCATATACAGCTCCCAGCTTGGGCCTCAGCCCGGGTGCTGGCTGCACCAGCAGTGCTGTCTGAAGCTCTCTCCCCGCTACATCCTCCTCCCCCTTAGTCTTCATGTGTTCCTAAGGCATCCTGGATATTGTCCATCTGACTCTGGCACTGCGGTTGTAATTGCTATTTACGCATACTTACAACCACCAGATGCAGCCCTCAGTGATGGTTAATCTTGATTGTCACCTGGACTGGCTTGAGAGAGGCCTAGGGGAGGGGGACGGCACTTCCTGGGTGTGTCTGGGTGTGTCATAGGAGCTTGAGTTTGGGGACTGGGCCCCTTCCTCTCTGACTCTCGCCCCCTTGTTCTACTTCCTGGCGGCCATGATGTAAGCAGCTTTTCTTCCCTACGTCCTTGTCCTGTGACGTTTGTGTCTTGGAACCAGCTGACCATAGACTGAGACCCCCGTCAAACTGTGAATCCAAATAAACTTTTCCCTTTAAGTTGTGTCTTAGGTATGTGATCCCAGCAATGGGATAAAGGCTGACTAATAACATCCTACAATGACAAGCACTGTATCTGATCTAGTTTGTTCATTTTTCATAACCTAAGCATATAGAAACATGCCAAGAACATAATAGTAACTTAACCAATATTTTAACCACATAAATAAATGTGTCATGGGTTGCATTCAAATACAGAGTTTTTT